AACAAATTATGTTTACCTTGAAAATGCAGAAAAAAAATCATTGTCTTTTTCTGCTTTAAAAATGATGTTAATGCACAAAGGAAGAAAAGCAGTTCAATCTTAAAAATTATTCACCGCAGTTTCCCCAAAAAATTAATTCACTAAATGCAACCTTTCGGCCACACAGAACATCGTGAAAATTTTAGCAACAGTTTCCCACCTATGTACACTCTCAAAACCACCATCACCAATCCAAAGCTTCCTTTTAAGTGTTTCAAAAAAAAAAAAACAAAAATAAAAGAACGTAATTCTTTTCACAGAAATGGCTATAATGTTGAAAAAAATGTTGGCGCATCAGAGGAAAGCTAAGTTAAGGCAATTGATACGTAATTAAGGATGATATATAAATTCTTTTCTGTAAAGATAATTTCTGTAAAACAGTTTAAGATTTTAAAACGCTGCAGTCAACTAGGAAAAGAAAAAACCGTACTGCCACTTTTTTTTTGCTATATCTTATCCAAAAATTAATGATCAAAAATAAAGCAGAATAAGAAAAAAAACTCCATACAGATGTTATTTTGGCACAAATCGACAGTCCAAATGAATAGTTTTTCCTCTCCAAGCAATTGAAAGTTAACAGTTTTTGTTTCAATTTCGAAATAAAGGGAAATAAAGGGAAAAAGAAGAGCAAATTTTACTTTGCAGAGTAATTTAATGACAAAAATTTAACTGCATTCTAAAATGTTGTACACTTTAAAATGTAAGGGATTTTCTTTTTTGCAAAAATAAAGCGAGCCGATCAGTGTAAATGTTCAGTTGTCAACAGAGGGAAAAACTGTACGGCGAGGTATTTGAAGAAGAAAATTGAGGACAGCATTTAAAGGTAACATTAGTTGTAGCATCAGTAAAAAAAGTCTTTTTTGTTAATCTGACTTATAAGTATTCCACAACATCTACCAATTTCGTAAAACGGACCGTAAGAGAAAAAGCAATGCATTCTCAAAGTACAGATATTTCATGCAATTATCAGATCATTGTTGTTGATCCTGGTACTGCTGTTGCTATTGTAAAAGTGATACTTTGGTGATTGCTGGATTCAGGACATTAAATTATCATAGAAGTTTCAAGAAAGAAGAACAAATCAAATGTAGTATACAATTTAATGGCCTAAAATAAACTATAACCTATGCTAAAAACTGTCTAATAAACTGTTCGCACTGTTCTACGCAGAACAAAACTGTTGGCGTCCAAATAATAACTCCAAACACTTCCTTTTGATACTTCTCTTCGTCGTTTGCCATGTCACCAATCGATATCTTAACTTCAGAAAACAGCTGACTACTCTTTAAAAAATTTTTATTGCTTCAGCATTTATGTTTCCTGTTTACTGCTGGATGTAAATTCACAACAATTCATTTTTTGCAATATTTAATGTCCTACTAAAACAGTCACCAAAAGTTTCGCAGAGAACACTGAAGCATCACACGGTTTATTAGTTTTGAAGTTAAAAGCCAAAGAAAAAAAAAGAAAGAACAGTAGAAAGTATTTTTGTTAATTGTTCATGTGGACTTCATGTGTGCCTATTAGTTGCCAAAAAATCACAGTCAATTGGATCTTCGCCGGCTTCTCTGATTCCTTTTGATCAACTTCTGGTTCCTTTTTCGTCACCTGCTCCTCCATCTGTTGCTTATGTTTGAAATTTTCTATAAAACTTTTAATCTTTTTCCTTTTATATCCCTCTTCTCATCAACTATTTTTTTCCCAGTTTTATTTAATTCTTTTTTGTACTCGACTTCATCTAATAACGACAGCAGGAGAAAGAAATTGTCAAGTTTTTCTTCCTTCCTAAAAACATTCAAGTTTCTACTAAGAGATGCAGTCTGAGCAGAATGGAAGAGAAAAGCTGTTGAACCAATGTAACACAGAGAAAGCCTTCTAAAATTAGTGTAAAAATTTTTTGTCTTGTTGTAGTTGGCAATAAACTCTAATGAAAATCAAAAAAAATCAACCAAGTAACAAGGTCTTTTTTCAGTGATTCAGTGAAATAACAGCAGTCATAACTG